AAAAAAAAAAAAAATAGGGTGTTGCTATTTGCCATTCTTCGACCATTTGTCCCTATCAATTTTTCAAACAATTCATCGAATTGTAAAATCCTTTCTACCAGTCGATTTTCTGTAAGATGTCGGGCCTTAAGGTTAGCTCGGAGAAGACTCAAATCTTTTTTTCTCGTAATTGAGCCAGGAGGTCCAACATAGGTTGGCGGACGCCTTACAGTTTAGGTGGACGGACAATTTGGGGAAATACCCTTGGGGTGCCTATTATCCACGGTCGCGTGACCAAATTGACTTTCTCGCACATTCTTGATAAGGCGGAAAGTTGACTAGCCGGGTGGCGCATGAAATCGCTTTCGATGGGCGGTCGTGTAACTCTTACCAACTCAGTGCTTAGCTCGCTGCCCTGCTACACTATGCAAGCTGCATTGCTACCGAGCTCCGTCACCGAAGGGCTTGAACGTCGAAGTCGCGCCTTCATCTGGGGAGGCTCTTCAGAATAACTTGGGGAGAGCACATGCTGGCTCGAACAAGAACTGGGGCTGCACCTTTGCCTTGGGGGCATGGAGCTCGTGGAAGTGGAGGAACGACGCATTTTCACAAAACTCTTCCAACTCCGCCACTTTTTATATATGGATTTCAGGATATATGACTCATTCCCACATGTATAGCAAATTTTCCCTTCCAAAAAATAATTACACAATTTGTTAATAAATATACTGAAGAAAGAAAAAAAAAAATTAATATGATCGAAGATGTACCTTAACAATTTTTAACATCTCATCCTTTTAAGAAGAAGGCATTAGTCTCCAGTCTTTATAGTGAAGAGGACAAAATTTCCCATTTCTAGCAATTGAACCCAGAAAAATCATAAATACCTGTTTGAGTTGTAGCTTCTAGTTCATTATCAATATCAGTATGCTCGTTTTCGAGTATATTCATTCCAAGAGATGCTCCAGAGTTCACTTGTTCGGCTGCCGCATGTGGAACACTTGTTGCACATTGATTCAAACCAACATTCGGTAGTGATGATCTTTCGTAAATAATTTTTGGTAAACCCTTTGTCATTTCGAAAAATATAGTTAATTTTTGGGATTTTACTGTTTTTCGTTTAGTGAGGTGTGGAAAGAGGAGAATATCTGGTGGAGTGAGTCCAAGGCCAAATGCTCAATTCAATTCATCAATTGGGGTCCTCAACTTTAGTTTAAAGGATTAAAAGTAGATTAAAAGATTAAAAATAAATAGAGAGGGAAATATGATATTCATATAAGTTAAAAGGAGAAAAACAAATTGCAAAATCCCCCCTATATATTAATGCAGAACGCGCTGAGCTTACGTGGCTGCTTCTGGTGTTTCGGAATCTTATGTGGCAAAATTGCATGCTTCGTTATAAGGCTTGGGTAAATTTTAATTTATTTCCAAACAAAAAATAATTAATTTCGGATTACCATAATTATGTTGATTATTTATGGTAATGTTACATGTATTAATTGCATTTTAATATCATTCCTTATTATAACTATTGAATTGTATATATATTTAAAAGTTAATAACTTTTGTATTTTTTATCAGTTTTAGATATGTAATATATCAAATTAATCTTCTTTTGATGAACTTCGATTTAACATCCATATTGTATGTATAAAAAAAATAATTTATATTTATCTTTAAAACAATAATAAAATTATTTTTAATATTAATTAGATAAATAAAATTATTTATCAACTAATATATTTATATTTCAAGTAGTTATATGATATAAATTATAAAAACTAATATAATATAACACATGTAGGTCATAAGTAACACATATCATTCTAAAATATATAGTAATATATTTTTTTTTGTAAAAAAATAAACTAAATTTAATATAGTTTTCTCATTAATTTTAAAATTTAAGAATAATTTTTTAACAAGCACCCGTGTAATGCACGGGTGTTGTACTAGTGATATATAATTCAAGAGACGTCGTTAAATCTCTTTCCAAAATTCAAAATTTATCAGGGAAAATTTTATAACTGTCCCACTTGAAGAAAAATATTTCGTAATAGTTACTAGCCATACACAATTCCAAATATACTTAAAAATTGGACGCAACTAGGCCAACAGAAAAAATATAAAATAATTAATAATTGCTACAATTATAAACAATCCATCTCATTCTTTTTTTTTCTCTCTCTCTTACTTTTCTTTTCTCATCATTTTTTTCTCTTTTTTTCTTTCTCTCTCATATTTTTCCATGGACGGTTTATCTTTCTTCCTTTTTCTTCATATGTGAACACACTACAAAAAAATAGAGTTCTAGTGAAGAATTTTTTTGTTACTATATCTACGATTGTTGTCACTATGTTGTCACTATATCTAATGTCAGTATATCTACAGTTGTTGTCACTATATCTACAATTATTGTCACTATATCTACAATTGATATAGATATAGTGACAATAAATGTAGATATAGTGACAGTAGATATAGTGACAACACAGTGACAACAAAATTCTTCACTAAAACTCTATTTTCTTGTAGTGACATGAATTTCAAGAAATGAAAAATTAATCAAAAAATACATTGAAGGCAACAAAAAAAAAAAGAACAACACATCGTAGGATGATGTGACCATGTATAAAAGAAAAAAAACAAATAAAAAAATAAAAATTTTAGTGCATCAACGTAAAATAAATAACATAACACCCATTAAACAACATAAAAACAACCTACAATCTACCTTCAAACAATTATAAGAACTGAAACTATAATCAAAACACACAATTTAATACAAAAAGTATTAAAACAAGAATAAACAAAAGTTGAATCAAATTTTATAAATAGACTGAAACTTTTTTTCCCAATGTAATTAATGACTAATTCACAAACAAATAAAATCATAACCTTAAAAATTACCTAAACTCCATTCTCATATACCGTAGGTGCCTTGCAATTACGTATAGAACAAATTGATTACACGACCTACCTCTATATTTCATGATTTGCACGAAAAGTGGAGAGGACATTGGAGATGAGCTTTAGTTTATTAGTAGTGAATCGTTTCTTTTCGGTAGTCACGAAGCGTCAATTTTCGGCATTGACGATGGGCCGCTAATTTCGGGAATAAGGGATTGGAGGCCAGTTACTTCGCTGGCAGCAGGGAATGAAAACGAACAATGAGTAAAAAGGTTCAACTACGAATTTTCATTTGAGGGATATAGTCCCTGGCAACGATACACTTTGTTTGTCGTCGTTTGCAGTTGGATTCTTCATTTTCTCTAGATCCATGGCTTTATTTCTTCATCTTCGTTTGCGCCACAAAGATAGTCGTCGCGTGTTGCTCGATTTTGCGAAACATCTCTTAAAATTTATCCCATCTCAAAAAAAATTGAAAGATTGTGAGAATTTTGGGGTAGTTATCTGGTTAAAAAAAAAAAAGAGCTGGCCATCGTTAGCGCTTTTCCACGAAACGACCGTATTGGGCCTAATTCAGATGTTGCTCTCACAAATTGTTTTGCGGGTAAAGGACATAACGATATAAATATGATCTGTGCCACATAACTGAAACCCTAAAGTGTTGATAGCAACAAAAATTCGCGAAGAAGGAAGGTACTCTCTATGGCTCCCTCTTAGATCCATATTGTATTTTGGTGTTACGATTTTCCTCTTTCAACACTGTTCATCCTCGACTGATGTTGTGTGCTTAATGCCCTAATTTTGGTTTGGTAATTTTGTTTGGATTTAGCGAACGAACGTAAGATGTCTTCCGCCAGATCCTCCGCCCGGGAACTCAGACGGCATGTTCAAAAAACTTATCTGCGTCGGGACGGGGTAACTTTTTTTTTTTTTTAATTATTATTTAAATTCGCTGACCATTTTAGCTAGGTTTGATGTAAGCTTTGTTCTTTATAGTATTTTTTTTTTT